GGTCGGGTAGTGACGAGGAAGGTCAGGGCCCTACTGAGGTAAATAATAATAATAGTGACAGGTTAAGATAAACAATATAATTGAGAATCTACAGTAAGAGTATATACATGATAATAAGAGTACAATAACGGAAATAGAATATAAAGACAAATCACCAGGTAACACCACTCACATTAGGGATAATAATCAGGGATCTCTTGGTATCCCGAGGATCTCTTGGTATCCTCAATATACGTGCCGGGGATCTCTTTATATCCCGCACCTCAGTCCAAATCATAAATACGTACAGGGAATCTCCCGGGATGCCGTCCCGTAATCCCAAATTAAAACACACAGAAGCAATCCAAGGATACTCAATTAAATGCTAAATACGTATCAAGTAAACAGTTAATTCTAGTCTAACATGCTTCATGTAATGCAATTAAAGCAGTTTAAGCAAAAGGCAATTAAGTCAACTAAATATGCTTTTCTAAACTAACAGCAGGCTAAAGTCGCAAGTAGAATAAACAAGAAGAAAAGGGACTCAGCTTAAATACTAAAAATAAAATCGGGTTTTTCAACAATTAGCTCAAGTACGTGCTCGTCACCTCACGTACAAGGCATTTCAATTATCAAACATCATATCCTAAGGGGAAGGTCCCCCACACAAGGTTAGACAAGCTACTTACCTCGAACCGGCTCAAAATCAACTAGAAACCACGTTCTTGCCACGAGTATCTGACTCCAAATGGCCCAAATCTTTTCAATTCCATTTCATAATGTAAATAATACTTCAAGAAGCTGATTCTACAATTAAATTCTAAGCTAATACGCAAAATTATGTAAAATGACCAAAATGCCCCTCGGGCCCACATCTCGGAATCGGGTAAAATTTACATTTTCGGAATCCTCACACTCACACGAGTCTATTCATATAAGAATCTCTCAAATCGGATGTCAAAAACCCAATCTCTTGGTCTAAGAACTTTTCCCAAAATTTCTACCAAAATTTCGAAATTAAGGGATGAATTTAAGTGAAGATTCATGGAAATTAGTCTAAACCGAGTAAGAATCACTTACCCAAGTCTCCCAGGTGAAAATCCCCTCAAAAATCATGATCTCCCGAGCTCCCAAGTCCAAAATATGAGTTATGGTCTAAACCCTCGATTTTGGGTTTTAAATTCTCTGCCCAGATGTTGTTCATTGCGATCGCAAGAAATCATTTGCGATCGCGAAGAGTAAAAGTGAGAGGCTCCATAAATGGCCTACGCGATCGCGACATGAAGAATGCGATCGCAGAAGAGGAAAAGTGAAGGGTCCTCGATCTGGCCTATGCGAACGCAATAGAAGGCTTGCGATCGCAGAAGAAGACAAGGCCAGCTTATGCGTTCGCGGTCGAAGCCACGCGAACGCGAAGAGTAAAAGGACAATGAACCACCTGCTCCCATTTCTACTATGCGAACACGGAAGAGTAATTGCGAACGTGAAGGAGGAAGAGGCTGACTTCCACGATCGCGAGTAAAGTAATGCGATCGCGAAGAACAACTTAGGCCCCCTCAGAGAATGCACTATGCGATCGCCGAGGGAAGGATGCGATCGCAGAGAAGGAAACCAGATACCAGCAGTTCAGCAATTCAACAAGTTCCAAAAATGATCCGTTGAGCATCCGAAACACCCTCGAGGCCCCCGGGACCTCAATCAAACCTACGAACATATCCCATAACATCATTCAAACTTGTTCTAACCTTCGGAATGCTCAAAACAACATCAAAACATCTATTTTTCATCGGATTCAACCTTAAGGATTTCAAAAACTCTAAAAACACACTTTCGATCAAAAAGTCTATCAAACCTTGTCCGAATGACCTGAAATTTTGCACACACGTCGCATTAAACACTACAAAGCTACTCCAACTTCCGGAGTTCCATTCCGACCCTCGAATTAAAATCTCACTATCGGACCGGAAACTTCAAAAATTCAACCTTCGGCATTTCAAGCCTAAATTAGCTACGGACCTCCAAAATACATTCCGATCACGCTTCTAACCCCGAAATCACCTAACGGAGCTAACGGAACCATCGGATTTCCATTCCGAGGCCGTCTTCATACTATTCCGACTATGGTCAACTTTCCAACACTTAAGCTCTCCTTTAGGGACTAAGTGTCCCAAAACTCTCAGAAACTTAAAACCGAACATCCCGGCAAATCAAAATAGCAGAAATGAACTTGGGGAATGCAGTTAATAAGGGATCGGGGCATTAATTCTTAAGACGACCGGCCGGGTCGTCACATCCTCCTACACTTAAACATTCGTTCGTCCTCGAACGAGCATAGAGACATACCTGAAGTGAAGCTGCTCATGGCCCCAAACTGCTGAACGACGCGCTAGAGCTCAAAATGACCGGTCGGGTCATTACAGGAATCCAATATGTTCTTGGAAAATGTTAAAAAATCCATGCCCCTTTGTCTAGTCTGTTCTATGACTAAAATGAAAGCATTTGCCAACAATGGCTGAGCCAAGTATCTATTGGGAGATTTAGAGCCCATTTGGATTAGCCGTAAAAAAAAGTAGCTTTTAAGCACAACTGCTTAAAAGCAGCTTTTAAGTGCTGAAACTTATTTTGTATATATACTTTACCTGTTTGGATAAAAGTGCTGAAGCTTAAAAAAAGCTGTTGAAGTATTTGGTAAACAAGTGCTGGCAAGAACTTTTTTCTATTAAAAAGATATAAATATCCTTAGAGCTGTTAACATTATAAAGGAGCTGATTACTATAATATATTTGATTTATATAATAAATGTAAATAAAAATAATTTATATTTTAATTTAATTTCAATTTAAATGATTACTTAAGATAGTTTTTACAAATATAATTCTTGAACGCTCATTTTTAGTTTGTACAAAAGAGGAAAGAAATTGAAAATCTGGGTAAAAATGGTTCTATTCAGCCAAGACTGCCTGTTAATTCATTTTTTCCGATGTGCATGCAAGGAAAAAAAATATAACCGTTGAGTATGCTTCTAGCTGGTTCTCGTGGGATGTTTCTTATAGCTTCCCTAGTGGCTGAAGCATTCTTGTTATTTAAGGGTTAAGATAACTTAAGCTGATAATAAACTTATGGGATTGTGAATCCATTTAGCTTGGTGATCAATGCACTTATAATTTGTAAATTCAAAAAGTTATCCAGGATGAGATGTCATCAGATCATGCTACAGAAGATCCAAACACATACAAAATAACAAGATAACATTAGTGTTTCTCAATTGGAATGTAAAATAATAAATATTAGTGTTTTAAAAGATTCATACAACTACAAGTATCAAGCTTCACAAATTTTATTAGCAATCAAATTGCGAAGACCCATCCAAAAAAGATCACTTTGCTCTTCCACATTTTCCGCATTTATATTGTTATTAGCTCTCAAAGATGTACCAACGTCAGGATCAACCGATGGAACATATCTCTCATTCTCAGCTGCTCGGAATGCATCATCCATATTGCATTTCTTTCTAATATAGTTATGAATGACCATAGTAGCAAGTACAATGTCTCTTTGAGTGTCAATGTGATAGAAAGGCATGTCTCGCAAAATAGACCATCTTGCTTTCCAAACCCCAGATGTGCGCTCTGCAATATTTCTACAAGAAGAATGCAAATAGTTAAATTTTTCAATTCCCCCTCTTGGTTCTCGCAATTGTCTTGTTGCACCGCGACGGAATTGTGCTAGGTGATATCTCACATTATCTCCTTTGTATGGAGCCATATATCCCTTCATATGCGGATATCCTGCATCAACTAGATAATACTTATTTCCAATTGGACGTGAAAAGTTGAGTTCTGGTCTACGAAGGGCCTCACCAAATATACGACTATCGTGAGCTGCTCCTTCCCACTCAGCCCATGCAAATGTAAAACACATATTAAAATCTATGACAACAAGAATATTTTGAGTCGGATAACCTTTACGTCCAATATATGGTATCTCTTGACCTTGCGGTAATCTTGCTTTAACATGTGTGCCATCAAGTGCTCCAATACAACCCTACACACATTTACAAGTATAAATTTAACTTAAGTTAGTAATACTTATAAAAGTTAAGTTATAAGTTTAATAAACAAGAATTATGTAAAAATATTTCTTACTCTAAAGAAAGGGAGATATCGATACATGACTTGTGAGCTCATGCGCCATCATTATAATTTTGATGTGGTCTAATTATATCTCTTGCAAACTTACAAATGGCCTTTAAAACACTATGAAAGTGTCTATGAATTGTTTCCCCTGAATGTTGAAAGATTTCCTGTATCAATCGATTTCCAGCTCCATGTGCACAAGTCATCAAGAACATGCCTAAGATCTCGTGTATAGACATTCCACGTGTGGGTTTAAGCCCATACTTTTCAGTTAAGTCATTCGATAGATCAACAAACACCGACTTCCTCAATCGAAAATTTTCATAACAACGAGACTCGTTTCCTCTTAATATCTCTTGAATAAATACAATTCCAGAGCGACTAGATGTATGACAAGGTTCCTTGCATAGGTATTTTTCGTAATACATCAAAATCAATTTACAATTTGACATAAAGCCGTCCATTCCTTCTCATCTTGCTCCCTCTGTATTTCCTCCGGTTCTTCTTCATCTTCATCGTCTGACGAATAACTTGGATAAGGATCTACTATGTCACCAGAGTTCGAACTCTCCATTTTACTGAAAATGAAAACATAAAGTTAACTGAAGCTTTCTAAACATAACCTTAACTAAAGCTTTACAAACATAAAGTAAAGGGAAGCTTAACAATAGTAAGCTTAACAGAAGCTTAACGATAGAAGCTCAACAAAAAGAAGCTTTAATTCAATAAAAGTTTAATGATACAATCACAACGTCTAAACAAGAAGAAATATATAAAGTTTACACATAAAACCATAATAACGTTTACACATACAATCACAATATTAGAACACGTAATACTAGAAATACTCAACCACAACGATCAATTATCCATTTTCTTGAGGTATTACTGATAGTTAAACTCCAACCAAGACTTGCGAGCTTCATCAGTAGACATCCCCAAAAATATCTGCCGGTTATTTTTCTTGCGGAACATATTCATAGTAAAACTGTAAATTTCACTCCCAGCTAGAATATCAGGAATTTGTCCCAACGTGACAATACACTTCTCGATGGATGTCTCATCAATTGCAGGAGATGTAGCAGTGCTTTTGCTAGACATAAACTCTATGAGAGAGTGTATGTCCTCTTTTATTAATGTTGCAGCTGTTTTTTTCTTACTCTTTCTTACTCGACTACTCGTGCTAACACCATCAGTTGATTTTTGTCTTTTTAGTGATGGCTCTAGAAACATAACAGAATTTATATTCTGCAGATCATCACTTTCATCGCTCATTTCATCATTAAGATGAATAAAGTGTTCTTTGTCACAATCATCAATAACATTTATTCGTTCTTCATCAAGATTAAGTCCAACGCCGGATGATTGTTCTTGATTTGTTGCACGTGCTCTTTCTCCTGCGACAACAACATCAGCAAACAGTGCATCGTAGCGAAACCATATGAGCAAAAGATCTTTGTTCCTAAATTTCTTATATTTTGCATTCTCCTGTAAAAAGAGAAAATCAAAACTACTTTAATCAAACTGATAAAATTAACAATGAAAAAAAAATAAGAATTACACATATAATAATGTGAAAGATGTACCTTAATTTTTCGGTCCCACCAATCATCATCTGCCATAATCGTATTTTTCGTGGCATCCCATCCTAAACCTGTCTCCCCTCTCATCAATTGCTTAAAAAGTGTCCATTCGCCTTTCATGTAATCCCAATGGTTTTTCATTTTTTTTTATCATAGTCTTTTCCCGTCTTCTTACAGAACTCGTTAACAAGACTTTTCCACCCATCTTTATTTAAATAAGTGTTTGGTCTATTTTCCTTTCTAACCTCTTGCTCACACAACTCAATAAATATAATATGTGTATCGTCGTCCCACTTAGCATTGTCCGACATAATTGAATGTAAATAATCTGAAGAAAGTAGAGCAACTAAGAAGCTAAGACTGAAGTTGCATAAAGAGAGCCTAAAAGAGCCTGGTGTTTGACAGAAAGAATGCCTTTAAAGCTTATTTTAAGTTAAAACCTCCGTACAGAAACACAAATAAAGAAGGTCAATTATGGTAATTTGATGCATAAAAGTAGTCTAATAGATTCAGAGGATTCATAATTTCATATAACCAACCACAACTAGCTTTTTGAATTGCAATGCAGTTGATATATATATATACACACACATATTGATATACCTGCCTCACAAAATTTAATTTCTTCCTACAGGTAGGTGCATCTCCAATGCTATAAAAGAGTTAGAGCATGCTGGTTGGTTTCCCTCATTGTTTTTAAATACCTTTTCTAATAGCTGAACATATTTCTTTTGCTCACTAAATGCTTAGCATGTAAGCTAATTCTTTATTTTCTTCCTGGATCGCATTCTTAAAGAAAGCTTACTAGGAAGAGTTTGACTTACTAGACTTTGAATCCAAATTAGTTGAATAGTTTTTCCTCTCATAGTGTCATTAAATCCTTAGGAAAAGAAACTTATAAGCTTACTCAAATGTCCTCTTATTCTCTTCCAAACTGAAGTGTCTCTCATTAATTGCTAAGGGAATGGTAGTTGTCTTCTTACACTATTTTGGACAATTCTCATCTTATAATTTAGGTCTTGAAATTAGTTAGAACCAATGCTCATCTTCTTTTGACTCACATAAACCTAAATTTTCCAACTTCCAAAGCAAACACAAAGAGAAGAAGGGTAGCAAAAGAACAAAAACTTATGGAAATGCCAAGTTTCCATACATGGTTCACGAGATTTGGATAGATTAGGTGATAGGCTTGCAAAAGCTATTTCCAATTTCCCACCACCTATCGGTGAAGACAAGTTCGATCTGGTGCATATATATCACACATATAGTGAAGATGATAAATCACACAAAAGCTTCTCCTTTCACTTTCATGGTCTATTTTGGATACTTGGCTGTTTTCTCGTCTATACAGTAAATTGACCTCCAAGCTCTTTGATTTCTGCCACTTTTATTTGATTCTTTTTACTTATTTTACTCACAGATTCAGGTCAAAACCCAAGAAAAAGCCAAATAAAAAGGGGGTTTTCCATTAAAATTAATCCAAAACTTTGAAAACACACTAGGAATTTACATTCAACAGGAAGATTAAACTTACTGGACTGAAGAGGCTTTCAAATTGGAGCTGAAGTTGGGGAGAGTCCGCAACTAGAAGAGGAAGAAGAACGCAAGTCTTAGGAAGAAGAAGGCAGAGTCTGCAACAAGAAGGGATAAAAGAAAGATATCGTGTGTTTTAGGATTTTTTTTACTGAAGGGTAATTTCGGAATTAAGAAAAGTTATGAGGGATAATAATGTAAAATACTTGGTCAAAGTAAGGTGGCTTTTAAGCCAATTTGGAAAAAGTTGGGTTTACCCAACTTGTTGCTTTTTGCTTTTTTTTAAGCAGATTTTAGCTTTTTTTAAGCTCTTTTTTTAGTTGCCAAACACTACTAAAAGTTAAAAAGTGCTTAAAAGCTGGTTTGACCAGCTTTTAAGCCCATCCAAATAGGCTCTTATGCAAATAGGCTATGTAGACATTGAAAATTTGTCAAATTAGTGCATAAAAAAATTTTAGACTAGGACCTCTATAAGATGAGTCCATTAGGATTACTTGGTGGCTACTCCATCGAAACCCTAATTTATGCCTATAAATGAGGCTAGGTATGTCCTTCAAAAACCATCTCAGCAATTCCATAAACTCTCGGAATATGTACAAAGAGATCAAATATGCGATCTCTAAAATTTCATAAAACTCCTGGAATATTCATTAAGAGATCAAAGACAACTCAAATATATCTTGCTCAAAGTTCTAGCAACATTCAAGATCCAAACGAAGTGCTGCTATATCCTTCTTGATCATCAAATACATCAAGAAGATGCATATTGCCGCGTCCCTTTTTCTCGCGGAATCGGGTTTCGACATTGACAACTCTTTTAAGGAAGGGTTTTAAAAGAGAGAGTTACTACAAATGCACGCAAAACCTGATTAAAAAAGACAGTTACAGATTTTAACAAGTTAAAGTTGTAGAAACCTATAGGCAGGATCTATATGTAATTTTGGATTTAATGAGCGGGCAGTTTACAATCTCTGAAACCTACATGGTTGCCTACTGATTACAGGTACAAGAGATTAAACCTATAGGCATGATATCTAGGCATTTTATGCAGTAACTAATAGTGGTAGTGACAGGATTATGTTCAGAATTGGTTAATTAAGTCCTATAGGCATGGTTTCTAGTGATGATAATTAGCATAACGTTGAAAACTCTTAAAGAAACGAGTAGGACAATTAATTGAACTGATTCAAACCCTATAGGCATGAGTTCTGTAATTGAAACTGATTTTAGATCCTATAGGCATGATTTCTAACAAGCAGGAGTAGAACCCATTCGAACCAAATGAAGAACCTATCGGCAGGATGGCTAACATATAACAATTGAACATTCTGAGCATAACAATATACCTATAGGCAAGATTTCTACAATAACGGGAAAGTAACACGTTTTGAGCAAAGATAAAATACATATAGGCATGATTTCTAGCACATGATAGATGAACATGTTTGAATATAATAGCATATTTTAACTAAGTAATGAACCTAGAGGCAGAATTTCTACCCATTTCAGTGCAAGTATAAGATAAAAGCCCTTTCCCCAATTTTACTAATAACCCAAAATGTTATTACAAAAATTATTACAGGCCCAGAATGAATAGAATAAACTACAAAGTAGAATGGCTATAGGGAGCCTACAGCAGGACCAAAGGTACACCTGGCCAGGCCAGGCCTTCATTCTCATAGTTCACAACAGCCCCAAAATTACATGTTCATGGACATAACGCAGCCAGGACTTGAGGGATTCACCCAGTGGGCACAAAATAAAGTTGAACATATAGAACCAAGGTCCTAGTGTGTCAGAGTTTCCCAAGGGCTTCAAGATCCCAGGGCAGCTCACACTAGGGAGGTTAGAAAGGACAATTCAAGGAGAAACTAGGAACCAAACCCTAGTGTGTCAGAGTTCACAAGGGTCTCAAATGAACCCTGAGCAGTGCTCACACTAGGGAGGTCAAAGGACAGAACCTAAGTAGCCTTGGCTTTCAGCTGGCTAAGAATGAGATTCAAAGAACTTAGGTTACAGGTGAAAGAAGGATCCAAAATTGAGAAAACAGGAATTGAAGGGTTTAAACAGACACAACCAAATTGAGCAAACTAGGCAGGCAGTTGATTAAATCACAGAACTAAAAAAAAAAAAGAACAAGCTCAATGTAAATTGAGAAACAGGTTCAACACCTAGCATAGAAGCAGTCACGTGCTAAAAAGAAAAGTTGAGAAAAGAACATGTTTGCAGGATTGACTAAGGTTGTTATACACAGGTGCAAGATAGGTTAAAACATGGTTGAATTATGCCAAGTACACAACCTAGTATTATTCCCAAGGAAACAGGACATCATTGTGATGAGTCAACTAATCATAAAAAGAGTAGGGTATCATGTTAGCAAAGGGGGTGAGATTACAATCACAAGTTAAGACACATATACAAACTATTATTCAGAATAGAAGGTAAAATCATGTCAAGGAGCAAGCATAGGCATTCGAGCATTGTTATAGTGGTCTAATTAACAAAGATGATCCAGTTTGTATCAAAGATTTAGCCTAACACCTCAAAGTATTGATTCAAACATGATGAGACAACTGTTCCAAATCATAAGAAAACACTAGAAAGGGGCGTATAGGGTCGAGTGATCATGTTGAATAACACAATAGCAGGGAGGTAAATTACGACTAACAATGAAGGTCTTAACACAGGCTAACACAAATGTGAGGCATCCACTGGAAGGATTCAAGACAAGTGAGTAAACATGTTCATGAGCATTCAAGAGTTTAACACACTAACTGAATAAACCTCTAGGAAGTCCAGATTAACCAAGCTAGGAATAGATAACTTCAGAACTGGTAGCATTAGGAGCAGTTAAATGTTAAAGAGGCTAAAACATGTAAAGTTGATAGAACGATACCTAACATAACTCAGAAACGTATTGAACCATAGATTCAGAAGTAAGAACACATGCAAATCATAGACATGTAAGAATGAAATTGCAGAAGTCAAGTGACTCACCAGTTAAGCGAAAATGCACAAAATAATAGAAGTCCACAATGTTCTGAGTTACAAGATCCCAGAACTAAATGGCCATGGCTTCCAGCCGGCCAAAATCAGAATACAGAATGCAAATCAGAGTAAAGCTTTAAATTTAGTGAAGCTATATCGAGTTCAGAAAGTCTCTCCCTAGAGGGAGTGGGGGAAGGGTTTATATAGTGGTAGAGATTAACATCCAAATAAGGAAAATCATCAATCAACCACGAGAAAGGAAAGATTCATTACATGCAATCAGAATCAGCAAGGAAAAGGGAAAAGTCTCAAACCCTATGTCACGCCCCGAACCTGGGCCTGGACGTAACACAGCACTCGGTGCCTGACTACATGTGACCGAGCGAACCAACTGGCTTGCTGAATCAACATGTGGTATTATAACATACTGAATGCGGAAGATAAACTAACACATGCTGATATGCTGAAGTCTGGATGATATAAATCAAAGTGCGGAAATACTAGTATAATTCTGAAAC